AGAATGTTTTAAACTAAATGAAAATGATAATGCAACTTATCAAAGGTTGTGGGATGCAGCCAAAGCAGTGCTCAGAGGGAAGTGTATAGCACTGAATGCACACTGTAAAATGGAAGAAAGATCTAAAATCAATAATCTATATTTCCATTTTAAGAAACTAAAAAAAGGACAAATTAAATCCTAAAATAAGTAGAAAAAAAATAATAATTAGAGCGAAAACCAATGAAACTGTCAACACGAAATTAATAGAAAAAAAAAATCAATGAAACCAAAGCTGGTCCTTTGAAAACATCAATTTAATAAGTCTCTAGCAGGATAAGAAAAAAAGAGAAAACACAAAGTACTAATATCAGAAATGAAATGGGACATCATTACAGATCCCATAGAAATTAAAAGGATAATAAAGAAATACTATAACATAAACGTGGAGAACTTAGATGAAATGGACCAATTCCTTGAAAGACACAACCTGCTAAAATTCACACAAGGAAAAAAAAGATCTGAGTAGTCCCATATCTATTAAAAATACTGAATCAATAATAACCTTCCAAAACAGAAAGCACCAGGCCCAGATGGGTCCAATGGTGAATTCTACCTAGCATTTAAGGAAGAAATTATACCAATCCTGTCCAATCCCTTTCAGAGGATAGAAGCAGAGAGAATACTTCCTAACTCACCTATGAAGCCAGGATTCCCCTAATACCAAAATCACAAAAAGACATTAAATACAGACCGTCTCTCATGAACACAGATGCAAAAATCCTCAACAAAATATTAGCAAATCAAATCCAACAATATATAAAAAGAATTATACTTTACAACCAAGTGGGATTTATCCCAGCAATGCAAGACTCACTCAACATTTGAAAATCTATTAATGTAATCCATCACATCAAGATACTAAAAATAAATCACATAATAGGTTCATATCAATAGATGCAGAAAAAGCATTTGACAAAATGCAACTCCCGTTCATGATAAAAACTCTCAGTAAACTAGGAATAGAGGGAACTTTCTCAACTTGATAAAGACTATCTACAAAAATTCTAAAGCCAACATCATATTTAATAGTAAGAAACTCAAAGCTGTCCCACTAAGATGAGGTACAGGGCAAGGATGTTCCCTCTTACCACTCCTTTCAACACTGTACCAGAAATGCTTGCTAATGTAATAAGGCAAGAAAAAGAAATTAAAAGCATACAAATTGGGAAGAAAGACAAAACTTTGTTCAAGATGACATGATCATCTGTGTAAAAACTCTGAAAGAATAAGCAAAATCTACTGAAATTAATAAGCAGTTATAGTGATGTTGCAGGATACAAGATTAATATACAAAAGCCGATTGTTTTCCTATATACAGACAATGAACAAGTGGAATTTGAAATTAAAAACACAGTATTATTTACATTAGCACCCTTGAAAATGAAACTCTTAGATGTGAATCTAAAAAAAATATATAAGATCTATGTGAGGACTACTACAAAACTGATGACTGAAATCAAAGAGGAACAAAATAATGGAGAGATATTCCATGTTCGTGGGTAGGAAGACTTAATATTGTCAAGATATCAGTTCTCCAAAGTTGATCTATAGATTCAATGCAATCCCAATCGAAATCCCAGCAAGTTATTTTGTAGCTATCAACAAGCTATTTCTAAAGTTTATATGGAGAGGCAAAAGACCCAAAATAGCCAACATGATATTGAAAGAGAAGAACAAAGCTGGAGGATGACATACTTGACTTCAAGACTCAGTATAAAGCTACAGTAATTAAGACAGTGTGGTGTTGGAGAAAGAACAAATACATCAATGGAAAAGAAAAGAGAACTCAGAGATAAACCCCCATAAATACAGTCCACTGATCTTCGACAAAGGAGCAAAGACAGCCTCTTCAACATATGGTGCCAGAACAACTGGACATCCACATGCAAAATCATGAATCTAGACACAGACCTTGCACTCTTCACAACAATCAACTCAAAATGGTCCATAGACCAAAATGTAAAATGCAAAACATCTAAAACTCCCAGAAGATAACATAGGAGAAGACCTAGATGACCTTGGGTGTCATGATGCCTTTTTAGATACAACACCAAAGACACAGTTCATGGAAGAAATAATGATCAACTGGACTTCATTGCAAGTAAAACCTTCTGCTCTGGAAAGACAATTATCAAAAGAATTTGAAGATAAGCCACAGACTGGAATAAAATATTTGCAAAAGACACATCTGACAAAGGACTATTATCCAAAATATATAAAGAACTCTTAAAACTCACCAATAAGAAAATAACCCAGTTAAAAACTGGTCCAAAGACTGGGTGTTATATAAGACTGATGAACCACTGAACTCTACGTCTCAAACTAATATATTATATGTAGATTGAATTTAAAGAAAGAAATTAAAAAAAAAAAGTGGCCCAAAGGCTTTTTTTTTTTTTTTAAAGATTTTATTTATTTATTTGACAGAGAGAGACACAGCGAAAGAGGGAACACAAGCAGAGGGGGTGGGAGAGGGAGAAGCAGGCTTCCCGCGGAGCAGGAAGCCCTATGTGGGGCTCGATCCCAGGACCCTGGGATCATGACCCGAGCTGAAGGCAGACACTTAACCATCTGAGCCACCCAGGCGCCCCTGGCCCAAAGACTTTAACAGGCACCCCACCAGAGAAGATACAGGATGCCAAATAAGCATACAAAAAGATGCTCTGTGTCATATGTCATCAGGGAAATGCAAATTAAAACATCAGTGAGCCACCACCACACATCGAGAAGAATGGCCAAAACCTGGAACACCAAGAACACCACATGCTGGTGAGGATGAGGAGCTCATTTACTGATGGCTGGAATGCAACATGGTGTGGGCACTTTGGAAGACAGTTTGGCGGTCTCCTACAAAAGTGTGCATACTCTTACATACAATCCAGCAGTCATGCTCCTTGGCATTTACCCAAAGGAGTTGAGAACTTATGTCCACACAAAAACCTGCACATGGATGTCTACAGCAGCTTTGTTCATAATTGCCAAGCTTGGAAGCAACAAAGATGGACATCTTTGTTGTTCAGTGAGTGAATGGATTAATAAACTGTCTATATCTAGACAATGGAATATCATTCAGCACTAAAAGCAGATGAGCTGTCAGGCTGAAAAGACATGGAGGAACCTTATATGCATATTACCAAGTGAAAGAAATCCACGTGAAAAGGCCAATATTCTATGATTCCAACAAAATGGACATTCTGGAAAAAGCGAAACAATGGAGACAATGAACAGATCAGTGACGGCCAGTGGTGGGGCTGGGGGTGGGAGCAAGACAAATAAGCAGAGCATGGAAGATTTTAAGGGCCATGAAAAATCCTCCGCGTGATACTGTAATAGACGGACACACGTCATCATACCTGTGTCCAGATCCACAGGACGCACGACAGCAAGTGTGACCCTAACACACGACGGACCTTGGGTCAGTACAATGCATCAGCGCAGGCTGATCCTCAGTAAAAAATATACCACTCCGGTGATCATGGGGGTGGGATACACACGTGTGCAGAAAGGGATGTATAAAAAACCTCTATTTTCCACTCAATCTATCGTAAACCTAAAACTGCTCTAAAAAACTAAGTATTAAAAAAAGACAATTGGGGGGATCCTGGTGGTGGCTCAGCTAGTTAAGCATCTGACTGTTGGTTTCGGCTCAGGTCATGATCTCAGGGTCATGGGATCGAGCCCCATGTGAGACTCACTGCTGGGTGTGGCGTCTGCTTGAGATTCTCCCTCTCCCTCTGCCCCTCCCTGCCGGCCCCCCACCTCCCTCTCTAAAGAAAAATAAAAAATAAAAGAACAAGATACTTCCATGCATGTCAGCCTGTGAATACCTTCAAGATATTAAAAGAAAAAAAAGGACAATGCAATTAAAAAGTGGACAAAGGATCTCAGGAGAGGTCTCTGCAGAGATCTATAAATGGCAATCCGCACATGAAGTCGCTCAGTATTATTAGTCACTAGGGAAATGCAAATCCCGACTACGAGACTCCACTTCACCGGGGGGATGGTGAGGACTGGAAAGACACGGGACCGCAACCTGACCCACGCTGGTGGGGACGCGTGCATCCCCAAAAGGTCACGCCCAGATTTACCGTCTGGCCCGGCAGGGCCACCCCTAGCGCGACCCAAGAGAGACGAAAGCACGCCCCACAGAACCCATACCCAGTGTTCGCAGCAGTGCCATCCTAAGAGCATGGCCGTCGAGGGCAGAACGGACACACACACACTGTGCTCTGCCCACAGAATGGAGACACGAGGGCCTGACCGAGGCTATGGTGCTGGAGGAGCCCGCAAGCAGGAGCCGGGCTCGTCTCCCAGGGGCATTCACCAGAACCACGCCGGACAGGCAAAGCCGCGGAGACAGAAAACGCATCAGCGGTCGCCGAGGGTGGCCAGGAAGCGGGAAGGGGTTGCTAGCGGGTACTAGGGTTCCTGTTCGGGGGATGAGAGTGTCCTAAAATTGGCTGCGGTGATGGCTATTTGGCTGTATGTACTAAAAACCACCGAACCGCACATTGTACGTGGGTGAACGGTATGGTACGTGAATTATATCTCAACCAAGTATTTCTTACACACACACACACACACACACACACACTCAGCTCCGGAGGCCTGGGAAGGGGACTGGCCCCCTGGGAAGATGCTCCGGCTCCGCAGCCTGGGAGCCTTGTGACCTCGGACAAGGACTCTTCCCAGGCCAGTTTCTGTTTCTGCAACATGTCTTCCGTATGACCTAGCTCACAGAGTCAAGCGAGTGGAAACAAACCCCGGGTGTGAGCACGTCTGGCTCAGGACGAAGCGTGCAACAGACCCTCTACACGGGCTAAAGAAATAACCCCGCACCTGAAAGGACCTTGTCAGCGACAGATGCAAGGTGCTTGCAGAATTTCATGCACAAAATTGTAACACGTTATCAGAAAGAACCCATGTTCAGTTTCGTACGTCGCTTTCCAAAGACTCACTTGAGCTCAGTTCCCCACTGTTTGAAAGAGAAATTAATGGAATTTGGGTGCCCAGGGGCCGGCTGGTGAGCTGCTGCCTCTCCTACCAGCTCTCCGGGGGTGGCTTCCACAGCGAGGACGTTCCTGGCTTTCTCTGCAGAAGCATCCGGATGTGAGCAAATGACACCTGAAAGACACGCAAACAAAGGTCAGTCCTCAACGCGTCCATGTGGAACTCTGCATCCTACGCGAGACACGGACCCACGCGCAATCGGCCACAGGACAGGACCCATGGTCGCGTCGGCGTTCTGCGACTGTTTTCACCTAAAGCACCTCCATGTTTGTGAGGCGCTTCAAAGGCCCCAGGGCCGCGAGGGTGATTTTGGAAATCACCCAGGAAACGGGTAATATTACAGGTTCTTTCTTTGCATAAAACTCCCCATAATGAGAACTTCTTTTAACATTTGGAAAAAATGTCCCCAGCGGCAAATACTTCGTACTCTCCACAGTGGTATCCTCTCCCCGAGGGCAGGGGATGTCTGTGGAGGCCAGCCTGCCCTACACGTCCCTTTCACAAAGCGCCCCTACTCTGGCCGCATCGACCCTTACTCTCCCTGTGAAGCAAAATCAGAACGGCCTGCTGAGCATGGACACCGAGGAAAACTCGACTTCTCGTGGGAGAAGCGCCGGATCCGAGCGGCTCAGGACGGTGTCCGTGGAGGGCCCCGAGCGCCAGCAGGGGAACCAACCCCAACCACGGGCTCTTGCAGCGGAGGCGGGGCACCAAGGGACCAGGTAGCGTGGGAGGGGCTCTGAGAACCCGCGGGGAAAGCACACCGCGTGTGACGGGAAGAGGTGAGGGCCGTGTCTGTCGGGGGGAGCTCGGCTGCGGCCCAGAGCGGGGTCCTAAGTGGGAGAAGCAGAAGGGGCGCTGGGAGAGAGAAGATCCGATTCCCGATTCTTGGTTCGAATTACCACCCCATGGTGAGCACGGCGTACGGCCAACCACAAGAACACACATCTAGGAAGGACACGTAAAGTAACAGAAGGTCACGCAGAAGCAGGGAGCCCCTGGAACCCGGAGCCTGGGACCTCAGATGAAGCGGAGGGAGGACCCCACCCACGGCTCCAACCACAGCAGCTCCTCTCCCCTCCTTCAGACTGCAGCTCCCGAGATTTCACTTGGAAAGAGTTCCGATAAACAAAAAACAAGGTCCAACACTGGGAACCAGGTCCAGCCCCCCGGCCCTCGGAAGACAGATCCTGCACGGCAGGTGCCGTGACCATCCCTGCGAGGACGGGCGGCCAAGCTCGGGCTTCTCGAGGGCTGGTCCTCGCAGAGCTCATGGCGAAGCTCCTCAGGCCCGGCCAGGACACGGGGCCCGGGGCTCCTGCCTGCTGCACGCGGGCCAGCCTGTCGAGAGCTTCTGTGGGGCTGGGGACAAGGTGAGTGGTGGCCCCACTGCGGGCGCCGACCATCAACCACTCTTGCGAAGCCCCTCCTGCCCAGAAAACCCCAGGCCCCGTGGCTACCCTGGGCCGGGCTGCAAATCCTTCCTGAGGACGGCAAGGTGCAGGGGCCTCCTGGAGACAGGGAACCAGGGGCCAGGGAGGGTGCTGCCAGAACACACCATCTCCGGAAGTTATTACTCCACGTGAAAAAGCAGCAATGCCTCAGTTTTGCCATTACTGTCATTTTGCCTTGTCTTCGGTTTTTAAATGACTGCGTGACCATTCCTTAATTAGAAGCAGAGCGGCTGGTGTCTCCTCCCATGTCCGCACATTCACATTCAGGAGCCGCCTGGACGGGGACACAAACTAGGTCACAGCAGGGTTTCCCTGCGGTCCTGCCGGGAGCCACGAGAGCCGCCAGCCTCGGTCAGGAGACCGTCTGTGCTCAAGCCTGGTGGCATTCAGATGCTCTCTGCTCCTTTCCAACATTTTCAAACGCCACAACTCCGACACGTCCTGACAGCTGGGCTCCCCGTCCTCTCCTGCTGCCTCGACCCGGCCAGGACGCTGGGCCGTCCAAGAAAGGGGGAAAACCACGGGAGAAGGCCCTTTCCACAGGCGGCACGGAACACGTCTCTGTGGGAGCCGGAGGACAGAGTGAGCTTAACAGGAAAACGTTTCTTTCCCCTTTATCAGAGTGAGTTTTAACCCAGATGGTGAAGGAGCGATCAGAGCTGGATGAGAATCTCCTAAGTGAGGGCAGAGTGCATGCCCAAGCACCAAAAAGGAGGGGCTCTCCAGGCCCCCAGCAGGCCGGCCCACGCATCCTACCTGGCTGTTCCCACCATGGGCATAAGCCTTGTGACCAGCAGCTAGCAGAGAAGAGGGGCTCATACGCACTGGGGAATCGGACCACGGACGAACAAAAGACGGAGCGATGGGGAGCCGGGGCAGGAGGCCCTATACTTCCCCGCAGGGCTCATGGGTCTCCCTTGTGAACTACTTCCCCTGCCACCTCCCTTTGAGAGACCCCGGAGTCAGGTGGGGCCCACAATTGGCAGATGACTTCCCTCTCCTGCCTGTGCCACCCCCCACCTTCTGCAATCTGCCCAGACCCCAGCCTCCGCACCAACACGCACCCAGCTCACCTGCACCCCCTCTGCCCTCAGCATCACCCACCCAGCTCACCCGCACCCCCTCCGACCTCACCAACATGCACCCAGCTCACCTGCACCCCCTCCGCCCGCAGCATCACCCAGCCAGCTCACTTGCACCCCCTCCGCCCTCACCAACACGCACCCAGCTCACCTGCACCCCCTCCGCCCTCAGCATCACGCACCCAGCTCACCTGCACCCCCTCCGCCCTCAGCGTCACGCACCCAGCTCACCTGTACCCCCTCCGCCCTCAGCATCACCCAACCCAGCTCACCCGCACCCCCTCCGCCCTCACCAACACCCACCCAGCTCACCTGCACCCCCTCCGCCCTCAGCATCACCAACCCAGCTCACCCGCACCCCCTCCGCCCTCACCAACACCCACCCAGCTCACCTGCACCCCCTCCGCCCTCAGCATCACCCACCCAGCTCACCCGCACCCCCTCCACCCTCAGCATCACCCACCCAGCTCACCCGCACCCCCTCCGCCCTCAGCATCACCCACCCAGCTCACCCGCACCCCCTCCGCCCTCACCAACACCCACCCAGCTCACCTGCACCCCCTCCGCCCTCAGCATCACCCACCCAGCTCACCTGCACCCCTTCTGCCCTCACCAACACCCACCCAGCTCACCTGCACCCCCTCCGCCCTCACCAACACCCACCCAGCTCACCCGCACCCCCTCCGCCCTCAGCATCACCCACCCAGCTCACCTGCACCCCCTCCGCCCTCACCAACACCCACCCAGCTCACCCGCACCCCCTCCGCCCTCAGCATCACCCACCCAGCTCACCTGCACCCCCTCCGCCCTCAGCATCACCAACCCAGCTCACCCGCACCCCCTCCGCCCTCACCAACACCCACCCAGCTCACCTGCACCCCCCCCTCCGCCCACAGCCGGGTTCCAAGGAGGCCCCTCCCACTTACAACTAGAAGCCATCCTCACACACTTGCCCGGCCTGATATGAGGCCACAAGGAGCCTCAAAGAACATCCTGTTCACACATGGGAGAACGGTGTGTACCCAAGTCCCGTAAGCTCTCCCCACTGGGACCGGCTGCCCCTTGGGCACCACGCGCGAGTCACCGTGACGTACACTTCCGAACAACACGTAGCATTTGCAGTACTTTACAAATGGGGTCACAGAGAGAAGCACAGCCTCTCTGATCAGCTTACCAGGTGACAGGTGAAACGAGTCCGTGAAGCCGTCACAGTCTGCCAGGCTGGGTCTGCATCCGGCCCCATGTGGGCCTTCCCTCTGCCAGCTGCAGTCCCTGCACAGACCGTGGGGCCGAAAGGAGCAGCCGCCGCCCCGCCTGCCCGCCCACCCGAGAAGGAAGTGTGTGGTCTCCCCTCAAACCGTCCTGCCATTTTCTGCAGGAAGCACCTGCCGTGCTCTGATGGGTACTTGGGCACTCAAGACCCCTGTGACCGTGAGTGCTTCCATGGCCCCCGACTCGCAGGAAGTCTCAAAGACAAGGTGTTGTCATCCCCAGCTGGTTGCTTATCAGCCTACATGGGAAGTGAGCTCAGCAAAACGAACTGCATGCAGCTCCTGGAGCGGGGCCGTCAGCCTCCTGTGCTTGCTTCCTGTGCTCTGGCTGCCTCGTGCCCTGCAGCTGGGAAGGGCTCTGAACCCTGCACTTCGTCTTCGCCAAGTATTCCTTTGTGTGGAAACTAAGTCTTTACCATGCAGGCGCGGGGACGTGCGGGGTCCGTGTGCGTCCGGCACAGCGCTCCCGTGGGGGCCGGGCTGCGGGGTGCAGACAGGCGGAGCAGATAGACACAGCCAAGCCATTCCTCCTGTGCAGCCTGACGAATGTCCCGGGAGCTTGGGGCTTGGGGACGGCCACGGCACCCCCCGCGAAGGAGGCACAGACCGAGGGCTCCGGGGAGAGCCGCCTCCTTTCCGACCCCCGTGGCACCGACAGCAGCGGACTGGGAAAGCTGACCCACTACGGACCGCGAACAGCGCCTCACGAGACAGACACATCCCTGTGAGTCAGGTTCCCCACCGACTGCAGCTGAATGTAATCCTCACCAACTCAGAATTTCAACGTACTTTTACACGTAATGCAGTTGCCCATCTGCCCCTCATGACAGGACTGCGAGGGGTGGACAGGTGGTTCGCGTTCCAGCCCCCTGCCGGGCCTCCCCTCCCTCCCACCTGACCCACCTCCAAATCCTCCAGCCCTTCCACCTCGCCCCTGCCCCACCGCCCACCTCCTTCCACCGCCCCCCCTGCCAGAGCTGTGGCCACCACGGCTTCCAGCCCCATCCCAGCCCCATCCCGCTGACCGGTGCCTTCCCCAGCACTCAGCACGTCCCAGCCGTCGCTCACCCTGCTCTCCCTTGTCTGGTGATGCACCCCCAGGTCTGGCCCCTGACCATCCATCCAGCTTCCTCTCTGGCCTCTCGCTCCCGCTGGACCTCCTTCTGCACCCCGAGGCTGGCCGGGCTCACGCTGCGCCGCGCTCCTCAGACCGCCTCTCAAAGCTGCCTGCACCGGCCTGGGCCCCTCACCCGCTCCTCGAGAGCATGGACTGTGACTTCTCAGTCCTTAGATCCCACCGCCCAGACCACAGACTGGAGCAGGGCACGCTCTCCATCCCGCTGATGAGCAGACCGCAGCTCAGACAGACAGACGTGCCGGGGCAGTGGAGCAGGGCTCGGCAGACTTGCTGGCGGCCCAGGTGGTAGTATGTACTTTCAGCTCGGGGCCCCAGGGCCGCTTCGGCCGACGGAGCTTCCTCCCAGGACGCACAACCACCTGCCCACCAGACTGTCCATTCCCGCGATGTCAGGGCCGCGGGTGCTGGCGCGACAGCGTGGACGAAAATGAGAATGCCCCGAAGAAGGGGCAACGAGGTCAGAAGACAAGGAAAGCTTTCTTTTTAATACAAATCTGAGTTACAAACACCCTTCGGTCTAGCGCCCTGGGTCTGTCAGACGTACTCCGTCCTCAGAATAAAGGAACCAGGGCGTCACGCTGGCTTGGTCGCTAGAGTGTGCACCCCTCCATCTCGAGGCTGAGCCCCACGTTGGGCATGGAGATTATAAACCACTAAACTTTAAGACTAAAGGAACGGACAGACGGTATGAGCCCCACCTGAGGCACCAGCAGGGTCACGGAGCTGCTTCTGGTCAAAACCCCTAGGAGAGCGGCTTTCAAACACCCAGAGGAACTGTGCACGGAACACAGAGGTGCCCCCTCGGCTCTTGGTGCCCTCAGGGTGTGGGCGCCCCTGAGAACGACGTGAGGACCTCACGGGAGTGCGTGTGGACAGGTGTGACCATGTCACTGACCGCGGGGTCTGGCCGCAGACCCTGCTGTGGCTGTCGAGCACACGGTGGGCAGGGCAGCAGGGGCCTGCAGGGTGGGGCTCTGTGGGCATCTGCTTCTGGAGCAAGGCAGCTGTGGCTTGCAGGGAACTTGACGGAGCCTGTGCTCTGAGGAGCAGAAGGTCCCGCGGGCGTCAGGAAGTGCAGACCTCACCTCTTTGTAGGCGAGAGAACCAGCCGTCACTGGCTGACCCTGGCGTGTGCACCTGTCACGCCTGGCTTCAGGCCTCCGTGGCCTGCCCTCTCCCATGAGGAAGGCAGGAGCCCCGGCACGGACGGTCAGCAAGCAAGTGCTGCTCAACACAACCCGTCACGAGGACGCCGTGGCGTTTCACTGTCTCGATATTCAAACAAAAAGCCCCATTATCTCTACACTGAGACTGTCTGGGAATTAGCAAGAGTTGTTGAAATGCCACAAAAACCTAGAATAAAATGGAATCGTTAAAGTCTCCTTGGGGAGATGTCAGGAGCACGGCTTTGAGAACAAAGCGTGTACAAACGTCTGTGAACGCATCGGCGGGGGAGGCGGGTGCGTCACCTTAAGGGGGGCACAGGCAGGCAACATAGGGGTCGTCATCAGGCTTGAATACGACTCCGTACATGGAAGCCCCCGGAAAGTAGGGAACGCCACCGTTGGAAAGGGATCATCGCTACTTTGGTTCGGAACGTCCATCCAGCTGACCTGCCGTGGCAAACAGCTGTGCACGAGGATCGGACGCGGGTCCCCCCACCTGTGACTTACCTGAGTTATCTTTGGCTACGAGACCCTTAGAGCAATCCCCTGGGGTCGGGGAGGCCCTGCTGTCCCACTTCACCATGTCCAGACTGCTGCAGTACTCCCACCGCCTCTGCTGGAGCTCCTGCAGCCAGTAGGTCATGAGCTGACGATTAGGGGCCTGCAAAGACGGAAGCAGAGAGCGCGTTACGGCCACACGCGGGGCGGGCGGAAGCACCCTGCCCTGTGGACGGCGCTGGTAGGAAGCACAGGTCAAAGACTTCACCATCGGGACGGGCAGCCGCTGCTCATGCAAGTGGGCGGAGCAAATAGCAAGGACAGCGGGACTTCAGCCCCAGTGAGAAATCCTCCTGCCTGTGGGACCTGGAATTCCAGGACCACAGAACACCGTCCGCAGACGGTTTCAGGACGGCTGATGTTCTCGCTGACCCTGCACGTGGCGCACGCACAACGCCCGTCTAGAGAGCTCACGCCTCGCTCAGTCTGGGGTGGCGTCCCGGCCGCGCTGCATCAAATAACCGTATTTCCACCTGTTAGCCTCTGGGAGGGCACCAACAGACACGGCAGGCTGGAAACCAGAGAGCGCGTTGGATGGGTAAAACTTTTTAAAACTGACAACACCAAGTGCCGGGAAGGGTGCTGGGCAGTGGGCCCTGTTGAGAACCTCTCCCACTGCCCCCGCATGGCGGGCACCGCGACAGATCTGCTTGAACGGGAATCCTCGGTTTAAAGCGGGAAATCTGGCCGGGGAACAGTTAGCAACCTCGTGATCCTCTCTCACTAAATTCCCCAGGCAAAAACAAACATTAAAGTCACATGCTTTCAATGTCTGACCTATTATTCATGTTACAGAAATCTGGTCAATACAGCAGGGAAAACCGCCTCGAGGCAATGATTAACTGGGGTTCCTTCCCTTTTTAAAAATCCAGAAAGCGCTGAAAGCTTGTCGATGTCGATCCCGAGCAGCTAGTGAAAGGCTCCGGGGCTCGCGCTGTCCGAGCCGAGACCCCTGGACAGACACACAGGGACTGCAAGGCAGGGCGGCACCCACCGCGCCAGGCAGCCCATCAGTGGACGTCCAGCCAGCCTCCATGTGTTCCCTCGGCAGCTCTGCACGGAGGGGGGGTGGAGCTGAGAGCCAACCTCGCCCCAACCTGATTAGATCACAATCACTAACGAGGCTCTCGGTCGCCCCGGGTTCAGTCTGGGTTCAACACGGAAAGTTCCTCCAGATCTGCCCAGCACAGCCTCCACTGGACACACGAGGCCACAGAGCACGGGAAATGCGGCAGGCGCCACACGACGGAATACTCTGGATGCATCGCATTATCTCACCTATACTTGAAAACTTAAAGCACGGGGGCGCCTGGGTGGCTCAGTCGTTAAGCATCTGCCTTCGGCTCAGGTCATGATCTCAGGGTCCTGGGATCGAGCCCCACATCGGGCTCTCTGCTCAATGGGGAACCTGCTTCTCCCTCTGGCCTGCTGCTCCCCCTGCTTGTGCTCGTGCGTTCTCTCTGACAAATAAAATCTTAAAAAAAAGAAAGCTTAAAGCAGGTATATCATGGTTCATACTGTGTGTGTCTCAACTGTCCTACTCTAGACTGTGATGATAAATGCAGTCCATTTTGGGAGCCAAGGTTGGTGGGAAGGCCACCGGGTGGGAAGCGGCCTTGGGGATCGAAGCGGAGGCCAAGGGCATCAGGTTCCTGGGGTGTGGGGCAGCCTCCACTTCTCCCCTCCCACAGGGCTGTAGGACTCAAGGTGACTTCTCCGTTCTTTAACCGTGGAGATGCCAACGCTCTTTAGGGACCAACGACGAGTCCAGCTAGTCTGGCTGATGGCTCACAGTTTCAATACCCCCTCTGCCCTTCTCCAACGGGGCAAGTAGGACCCTCAAGCAATCTGACATCACGGAACACCTCCATGAGCCCATCACCAGGAGTGCCCTCCACTGAGCCCCAGCCCAGCTGAAGCCTACCGCCACCACACCGTATCTGCCCGGCACCTGCCGGCCAGATGGATGGGCAGCAGGACTGGGAGACAAGATCTGCCCCCTACCCCCAATTTACAATGCTCTAATCCCAAATTCTGGAGAGCCAGATGGGCACTCCAATCATGCTGGAAGGGGCAGAGCCAAGGCTCAGCTCAGCAGGTGCCTGTGGGAGGTAAGTGTCCAGCAAGAGGCCAGGTGCCAGTATCTGCCGTCTGAGGGCCATATCCTAGGTCTCCCTGAACACTGTCTCCCCAACTCCTATACATCCTTCAAAGCCCAATGCAAATGTTACCTCCAGAGGAGGTTTCCCTGACCGGAGCCTGCATGTTCTCTCTATCCTCTGAACAGGATGACACTGCGTACCCCAGGTCAGTTTCCCACGGAGGGAGGCACACGCCTCATGTGCCCCTCATTAGCCTGAGTTCCCTGAAGGCAGACGTCAGACCTGCTGCTCTCAACGCTGTCCAAGGTGCCTGACGGTTCAGATATCCGACTCTCCCCTCGTGCCTAGCTGCTCCCACTGCCCCAAGACTGCTAATCCCAGTCCCAACACGAGCCACACAGAACATCTCAGAAAGCTATTCTGGTTGTCCCTACCCAGCCATCCGAGCTGCAGACCAGGGGACAGACTCGCACTGGGCGGGCATGGTCCTGATCTGAGACACCTGCTGCATTTAGGTGCCATGTCAGGTCAGGTCAGAGAATGAAAACCAGGCCACCCACATCCAGCCGGACGTGGACTTGAGTCCTCAGTGGCTGAGAAGAACCACACGGTGCCCCAGCTGCTCCCACAGACTCGGTCCCCAGACCTCCACCGGCCCCAAACCCAGAAGCCCACACTTGGGGGAAGGGCTCCAGCCCCTGCCCTTCCCCTGGACATTCCCCCAAGCCTGACTCTCTCCCCGGGGCGCAGAGAAGTCCTGTAATAAGGTCATCTGATCACAAGTGAGTTCATTCAGGGCCCACTCCCAGCAGGTGGGCGTGTTCCTGGGGGAGGGACTGGTGCAGCGACCCAGCAGCATCACGGGAGTCAGGCGCTGTCCCCTACCCACATTCCCACCACGCGACCCCCTGGGCCAAGCTCTGCACCCTGGGGTCTCCAGCCCTGTGGGAAGGAACCTCCACCCACGGAACCTCAGCACACGGAAGAAGCCGCACTACGCTCATCCCCTTCGACCCAACGTCATTCCTGGGCATCTATCTGAAGTAATCCAAAAGAAGGAAAAGGGAAAAATGCCACGTACACAAAAATGTTTGTTCGTTCACTCGGCAAATATTTACCAAGCGCCTAACTTAGGCCAAGTGCCCCCGTCCACACCGGGGACACAGAACTGGGTGAGACCGGGTAGATTCTTGCCTCAGCCACACCCAGTAAGCAAACGGTTTCCTTTCCAACAGCAATAAACAGCTAGAAACACATTCCTAATTACAACCAAAATACAAAATGCCTGGCCTAAGAAACCCTTGTACATTACGGAAACTTTCCAAAAATCCAGTCAACATTCTAAAGGAAAACTCACCTAAACTTTAACGTTCAAGAGTTCTGGACAAAACAAAGGAGGCGTGGGGCTCTGCCCTTCCGAGCAGGGAGGCCGTGAGGAAGGCGCGACCGGCCCGGTGTGCGTGCGGGGAGTCCGGAGCTGAGCCCAGTCAAATGCAGCATCCGAAACGAGATCAGAAGAAGTAGTCATTATTAAACAATGGCCTTAGGACAACTGGTTAGAAATTTGCATTAAAATGAATTCAAATTTGATTCCAGATTTGAATGTGCATAAAGGTCATTTAAAGCGCCCAAAGAAAATGCCTACGTAATTAAGTTTTTGTCTCTTCTGCATCCCACGAGAGCCGTGTAGGTTTCCGCGCTTTTCAAAGGTGCACAAGCGGGTCTGACTCTGGACTTTAAACCCGCCGTGCGGCAGACGCAATCCACACAGAAGCTTCCAGCAGAGATATGTATGAGCTCCAGGGCCGCGTGCACCTGGCAAGGCCAAGCGCTCCTCCGAGGCTGAGCCCCAGACTGAAGGCCAGACAGACTGACCCTCGAGGGCTGTTTCCCGCACGCGGCCCCCCGGAAGCCGGCTCCGGGCAGGAGGTGTGGGTTTCACGGGGCTGATTATTCTCCCCAGAAACAAAGGGGAAGTTGCCACTGCAACAGTCCTATTCTCTTGGAACGGAAAGACCTTTCTAATCCCAAAAAGCAAGGCAGTAGAGAAAATGTCTGTCTGTCCCAAAACTCCACCACACCACCCAGAATTAAACGACAAATGACAAACGGAGACAGAGAGCAAACAACCTGCAGGGGCGGAGGTGCACGCAGCCCGTACTCGTCCGAGGATCCCTGCCCGCCTGGGAGCTTCCGCTCACCTTCGTTAACAAATGCCACAGCATATTGGAGACTTTTATTTCAAACAAGAGTAACAACCCACGTTTGCTGTGCAAACTCTGCAAAAGGCAGAAAGAAGAGAAACTGACCGCAACCCGTCACCAGACATGACGTCATGCACACTTCGCTGGGAGTCCTTCCAAACATTCTCCCGTCCCCAGACACCCATCCCGCTTTCCTTCACACAACCGAGCACAACACACCGGCTGTGACGCGTCCACACGCTTGCAACAGTGCCAGGCACCAGCGGGATGCCATCATCACGGCGGCAGCGGACTGAACGCGGGCACGCGCCGTCGCCGGAAGTGCACGACCGCCCAGACCGCGGTCCCTGCCTGCCCCTGGGGTAGGCACCAGGGCTGGGAGCCAGACGTCTGGGCTCACGCCCCGGGCGCCGTGCGCGGGGGTCCGATGCCCCCAGGAGGGCGTGAGTGACAACAGCAACGGACCTGCAGCCGCGGCTCCGAGGGTCAAGTCAGCTCACCAGGGCGCGTCCCCCGGGTGCGGCGATCACGTCTCCACCATCACCGGCGACCTCAGGGCCGGAGTGGCTCCGTGGAGATTCAGACCGGGTCTGGGTTGCTTGCTGTCACACGGAGGAGGAGGGAGGGGCGCACGCCCGTCCTCCCGGCATCCCCGCAGGACTCAAGCTCCGCACGGTTTTTGTTGAGCGCCGGGAGGCTGACCGTGAGCCCCTGTGGGCGTGTGGGGTCCTCGGCGAGGACCGTTGGCCTCCCCGCCAGGGCCAGCGGCCCTCGGGACACACTGCGGGGTGGGCACCACTGCACCAGGTCAGAGAGCACCGCCGTGGTCCACAGGGCCCCACGATCCCGCGCTGAAGACATTTCTCACAGACAGACTGCAGGGAAGCCGCGCTCCAGCCCGCAGGAGTCGCCAGCCATCAAGGCGAGGACCCCGCCAGTCTCTCCACTCGCGCTCCCTGGGGTTCTCCCGGCACATCCACCTTGTGCCCCCCAGCAGCGAGCTGACGGGCCTGCCGTCCTCGGCGTCCCCCTCCAGACGCAGCGGAGCCACGCGCGGCCCATGCTTCCAGGCTCCCTGATGGCGTCCGCGGGCCGTGCGACCCGCATGCTAACCGGGCCCACGCCGCACCAGCAACCGCCTGCAAACTCCTCCTCGCTGCCCAATCCAAACACCCCCAACCCGATCCGATCCTGCCGTGTGAGGGCAGCACTCCAGTCGTCCAGGCTCTGGGCTCCTCCCCATAGGCCCGCCCCCCCCCCCCCCATCTACGAAGAACAGCATGACCACGTTCACAGCAGGGTTACAGAAAGGAGGGTGCACGCGGGGCGGGCTCCGTGTGCACCTCACTCGGCGCGCTGCTTAACAGGACACGATGGCTGCTCATGGGGACGGAATTTTGTTTCTTAAATCTGAAGGAGGACATCTGGATTCCCAAGACTGCGCATCTAAGCAATAAAAGCACAAGAATATCGTAAGCAGCCTGAGGATATAACACTCTGATGAAAAACAGACCACAAGCCAGATCTGATAAATAACTTTAGGTTCCAAATTTTCTTTTGAATGTTTCAAAATCACGAGCCTGGAAAGAATCTCATGAGGTCTGGCCCCGAACCAACGAAACAGACGGGAAGTCCTGTGTCCGAGCCAGCGGCAGATGCCGGGAAGGGAACCCAGGCAGGACCTCCAGGCCCGGCAGAGTGGGGAGCATCCGCACGGCACTCCGTTCCTCTGGTGGGTGCCACGAGAGCTCTGACCTCTTCTCTTTTCAAACTATCTTAAAATCGGCATTTTATATACTCTATCAAAATAGTTACACAATTGCAATCTCAATCCTTTCCGAAGGCTGAGCAAGAACCCAGACCCCAGGGGAGGTGCCCCACCTGCCACCCACGTGGGAGGCGGAAGTCAGTGGGGGGGCTCCCGTTTATCACCCAAGCACCCTCTTTTTTTTTTTTAAGATTTTATTTATTTATTTGACAGAGAGAGAGCACAAGTAGGCAGAGAGGCAGGCAGAGGGAGAGGGAGAAGCAGACTCTCCACCGAGCAGGGAGCCCGACGTGGGGCTCGATCCCAGGACCCTGGGATCATGACCTGAGCCGAAGGCAGCCGCTTAACGACTGAGCCACCCAGGCACCCCAAAGCACCCTCTTTTTAAAAGCAAATACGCTGACACAGACGCATCCGTCCTGACACCCTCCCAGCATTAACGGATGTCACAGAGACCAGCAAGCAAAGGTGAGGACGGGGAGGAGGGGATCCTGACACAGAACAAGCTGAAGCACGTTCGCAGGAAAGGGGCCCCAAAGACAAGGGCTGTGGGGGGCTGGGCCAGGTGACAGACTCGGGTGACTCTGGCTCTCCTCTCCCTGCAGGAAGTGCGGGAGCCCGGCGACACAACGGGGCACGTGGCCCCCGCAGACCCCGGGCTGCATTCCCGTGGCTCCCTATCAGCCCTGCTGTTGCACAGTTGGGGAGAGCCAGGGCCCTGTGAGCTCGGGGGAGTTAAAAGCTGCAGCAGCCGCGGGACGGTCCACACCCCAGCCCCCCGCCCTGACGGTTCCCACACACCACGCGACGCTGTCCTGCTCCCACGTGACGCGTTTTACTCAGACGCAGGACACAGGAAGGACTTCGTATGAAGGTTTAGGAACTGGGGTCCCAGACTCCATGAGCCAGAGACCCGGGGGCAGGGGAGTGTGGCCGCAGAGATCCGCTGCCCTTCAAGCGAGTCTGCGGGGTGCCTGGGGGGCACCTGGTCTCCAACCGTCTCTCGGGCCGAGCTGGCGTCTCAGGAACAGGTCGGGTGGCTCCTCGGCATCATTCTGTAATTCACCCTTGGCTGGGTGAAATCTGGGGGCCCTCCAAGTCCTGACCAGCTACGCGGGGGTGGCCATGACGACGCTCTCCCAGAAATACCCCCAGGATGCCCACCAACGCCCCTGGAGGGGCACCAGCACGCGGTGCTGCCCAGGACCGAGCAGCCGGCGCGGGAGACACAAACCTCAGGGCCTCAGGGGATCGGGGAGAGGGTGACAAGCCCCAAACCAGTGCTGTAGAAACTCAGAATGCAAAGCAGATACACACACAGAAACCACAGAGCGTTGGCCCACGGACACGGGGCTCACGCCCCCTGGCCTCCACCCACACACGGCCAAGCTACTTCCAGTCCACACAGAAGGCCGTCCCCAACAGGCCCTCTGTGCTCGCCGCGGAGGGAGCGGTCGCTCACGGCCGCAGGCATGCACACCTGCGGCCAGAGGGTCGGGCTGGTAAGCGTGCCTTTCCCTGGGGCACACCCCGCCTACCGACTGCATCAGGGCGGCTGGGGCGAGCCCGCCGGGTGCGTTCTCCACAGGCTTTTCTCCTACAGCTGAGAACCACGGCTCTGAACAGCACGCTTCCTCCGAACGGCAGCCAGCTCGAGCGCTCTGTCAGCACGTCGCCCGGGACAGGAAGTGTGTGGGCGCAGCGTGAACCCGGACACCGGGCGAGCGGGCACAGCTCACGGGACACCCCAGCTGCCGGGGGCCTGTCCCCCTCTGGCACACGCCGCCCGAGAGAAGGCTCCCGACAGGATGCGTGCTTCCCACTAAACCAACCCCTCCTGGAAGCAGACCGTCTACACCGCTCACGTCCAATCCCCACGCGACTCGCCATCTTGAAGCTACACTGCAGCAGAAAACGGGCAAATGCCCAGTTTAGGTGCCTGTCCACCACTGACCCAGCATGAGCCGAACTGCCTGCCCACGGCCTAGAGCGGGAACACAAAGCAAACATCACCGAGCTGCTGGGTGAACAGGACACACGGTTCGCGTATCCGCCACCACCCCACTGAAGGCCTGTTCCCTCGTGCTGGCGCCCCGGGTCACGGCCCCTTCAGTTCCGACTCGGGGGCAGTGACCCCTGGAGCAAAAGCGCGTAAGGACTCCCTCCAAGTCACCGAGCCGCTTAACGACAACGCCCCAGTCACAGCCCGGAACAGGCTGGGCAAGCTCCCCAAGGCCAGAGGCAATGGCTGATTCCCGCCGGGTGCCCGCCAGGGCCTCACGCCACAGAACTGGCCAGGCGAAGGGCTGACTGGTCACACCACGCCCAGGACTGTCAGGCCAGCCTGTCCACCAGCAGTCTTCCCTGGACATCACAGAGCTGCAGGGGAAACAAAATAATCCCTCTAATCCAAGATCGACATCTCCGATGGCAGGGCCTGCCCGCACCGTCCACTGCCAGGCCTGCCACCCAACACTCAGACAGGTTCTCGTCCGAGGGGCACACTGCACGAGAACGCGCTCCTTCCCGGAGGCTGGCCCCGGGGAACAGTCCCAAGGACGCAGCTTGGGATCCCTCCCCACCAGGGTCCAGTTTCCCCACGCTGTCAACCTGAGAAAGGTCAGCGAATGAAGACACGGACTCCCGTCTGACCGGGGACATGTCCGTGGGCGCACGAGGCTCTCAGTCTTTGAGCAGCTACAGTTCCATCCAAACCTGACTGCACCATGCAGGCCTCTCCAATTCTGCAAGGATCACACCGACCACAGCCTTCTGGCCCCGGGCCACATCCAAATCAGTCCTTTACATGCAGGCCTCCCTCCTTCATCACTGTGGAAAGATGCCACACCTCCCCCAGGGTCAGGACGCGGGCGGGCCTCAGATATTCACACCCCACACTGACGGCAACAGACAAATACGATTTCCTGCAAAGGTTCTCCAGAGCCATCAGGTGCTGATGTATTTTTAAAGTCTTTGTACTGCAGTTTCTTAAGCGAATGGGAAAATTACTGCTGTATCTGCGGAAAAAGCGTAATGCTTACACGGCGGCAGGTGCTAATGGATAAACAGACACTGGGAACCTCCTCTGTGCAACAGGAGCGTTCGGTCAGCCGGCCAGGGTGCCCCGAGTGCAGACTACCTGCCTGACCTTCCCCTACGCGCCGGGGATGCAGTGCTGAGCTGCAGACCATCTCTGTCCTCGGGCTGCGTGTGCCCTAGCTGGACACAGCACCAGCTGCTCACATACCCGGACAGGACTGGACCCACTTCAGGGGGCAACCTGTGTACGTGGGGTTTCCTGAGTGGCCTGGTGGGCCACTGCTTATGGGGCAAGTGTGGGATCCGCGGGCTCCCCAGGGAGCATCTCCGCCGCGTCGGAGGGTGCACAGCAGGTGGCTGGTTAGGAGCCCCACGGCTCCCTAATTCCCAAACCCACTCTGTGCTCCCTCTGGGACAGCAAGCAAGCCCAGCTGAGGCCCACACCCAACAGGAAGTAGGCCAACACCACCCACTCCAGTGTCATTCAGACCCGACGGCATCAATCTCTAAGAGAAATGACAGTTCCTAGTCTAAACCCCTCCCCCAGAGAGTCATTTCTAGAATAACGGGATCTTTTCTGTTCTTGGAAGGAAGGTTATGGTCTGACTTCTGACCACACAGCAAGGCTGCACCCCAGGGGCTGATGGGTAAAGGCATCTAAACAAGGATACCTGTCCAGCCCTCAGGAGCCTCAGGGAGGTGGCAGGTGGTGTTCACACCTCAACCCCAAATGCTCCCCCCATTTCTTTCTTTTTTTTTTTTTTTAAAGATTTTATTTATTCATTTGAGACACAGAGATGCAGAGAGAGAGAGAGAGAGCGTGAGCAGGGAGAGAGGCAGAGGGAGAGGGAGAAGCAGGCTCCCCGCTGAGCCAGGAGCCCGACGTGGGGCTCGATCCCAGGACCCTGGGATCATGACCCGAGCTGAAGGCAGACGCTTAACCATCTGAGCCACCCAGGTGCCCCGGCTCCCCCCATTTCTTAAGAAACGGTTGCCTCCAAAGGGGAAGGAAGTTGGCAATGTGCATTTGAGCAAAGCGGGTGGAAGAGGCAAGCGTTTGGTGAAGGTGGTCATGAGGAATGTTCTGGGATGGGCAGTCCACCCCGCAGGGCAGGCCCCAGCCACACAAGCCCCCCCAGGCGGCCTCCCAGACCCCGCTCCCCCCGAAACTGTGGTGCTAAGAAGCAAGAGGCCACAGTATCTTTACCTTCACGTTTGTTTCCTTTGAAACCTTTCTGCCAGGCTGTCACATACATATGTCAACCCTTCATACACAGGCTGGACAGTCCTCCAGGCCGTTAGATGCGAGTACTGGGCGTGACCCACCCACCCATTTGGAAGAGAGAAAAAAAACCCTCAACCCCCACTGAAAA